CCACCACCACTGTACTAGGGATTATTTGAGTATTGATATATATTTTTTTATTATTGTATTGTAGTTTCTTTGTGTGGACGTTCACTTTTCATGTCAAAAGGAAAGTAGTATTTTGTTGTAGTAATCACTTATTCTTATGAAGAACATAAATTAAAGGGGAGAATTATCTTTAAAAATTAATAAAATTTATTCAAAATTTTTCTACTGCATATAAAACTTGACTAAAAATATTTTTCATCATAAAAAAAAAGAATTGTTAAACCTCATAAACCTACAAAATTCAATAATCACAAATATTATTTGTAATATTAATTATTTGACTAATGATTTTTTTGTGTACAAGCTTTCTTGTTATACTAACAATTACAAATATACATTAGAAGCAGACCAAAAAAGTTTGGATATATGAATATGATGACAATCATAAGCTAAAGAAGGCGCGAACAAAGTGTCAATACAGAATCTAAATCCATCAAGATATAAGAAGACTGCCTAAGATTTCAAAACTTGTATATTTTTTTTTAGTATTGTTTTCTTATACGTGCCAAATTAAGACCCTCATATGAAACATTAAATAAAAAATTAAATATGAGACAAATATAATATTATATGATCCATATCAAACACGAAGATTAAACACTAAATTTTTTTTTTCAAGAAATCACTTTAATGTACTAATCGAACTATACGATCTATGTTGTATAGTTCAATCAAATAGAGATGATTTTTTATGAAGTCACCTTAATGAATTAATTGCATTGTATCATACTATCATGGTATTATATGATCTAGCCAAACCTTTTTTATTACAACAATTTAAGGTTTCAAATCAAATACTTTTAATATAAATATTTTTGGCTTTTTTTTGCCACCTCTCTTGATTTTTTTTTTTCATAACATAACAAATCCTTCTATGTTGACTAGGAGGTGCACCATGGCATCAATTGACTTGGGGTTTTACATATATACTACTTTATTTCATGTTATTTACATATTTAACACTTAAAATATTAATATTACATGACTACCACCCATAGAGTAAATTTAGATGCATGGAATGAAATATTAAAGTTTATAGGATGGTATGAATGGTAGAAATGAGTTATACGAGTGATATATTTGATATTAAAGTTGTATATGGGTGATAAACATATAATATTAATGTTTTAAATATTAGATATGTAATAGCATGAAATAAAGTGGTATGTATGTAAATTTCCCATTTCTTCAATTGTGTTGGGGTTCAGGCCTTTCTATATCTACAAACATTCCAGCGAACTGCCAGCGGCCATTTCCATTTTCGCCTTCGGCACTTTCTCCTCACATGACAACCTTAAAAGGTCTTCATCTCGCCGCCGCAGCCGTCAAACCTCAAAACAGTTCACTTATCCTCACTTGCTCGCGCCCCAAAATCTCACTTCCCAGTCACAAATCCTCTCTCCAATCTCTCCTTCGTCGACCCCTCTCCTTCTCCTATTCTCACAGGTGCCTGCTCCCCAGCTCATTCTTCGCCACCGCATTCTCCAAAACTGACGAAGAAGAAGCCTCCTTTGAACCGCCCCACGCAGATGAAGAACCCGAAGACGGACAGCAGCGGAGCTCGATAGAATCCCGGCGGCTCTACGTCGGCAATCTCTCCTTTTCGATGACATCTTCCGAGCTCTCCGACATTTTTAGCGAGGCGGGAAAAGTCGACCAAGTGGAGGTAAATGATAAATAAATACTAATTCACTGTCCTTGACTCCGAAATGAAAAAAACAAAATCCATCTTCTCTTCTAAAATCATGATTTTCAGATAATCTACGGCCGCTCCACCTACCAGAGCCGGGGATTTGCTTTTGTAACCATGGCTACTGCCGAGGAGGCTAACAAGGCGATCAGGATGTTTGATGGAGCTGTAAGTGAATTGTATTATTTTTCTATGCCTGCAATGTGTTTGATGAAATGGCTCAGTAGGAATGCAGCTAAGGTATGAGTGTAAATTACGCAGCAAATTGGCAGCCGGACTGCAAAAGTGAACTTCCCTGAGGTGCCCAAGGGTGGTGAGCGTGAGGTGATCGGGCCAAAGCTGAGTGCTAACTCTCGAGGATATGTTAACAGCCCACATAAACTTTATGCGGGTAACCTTGGGTGGAAAGTCACCTCTGAGGCTCTTAGGGATGCATTCTCAGCTTGTTCTGGGCTTCTTGGCACTAAGGTTATCTATGAACGGGATTCAGGCAGATCTAGGGGTTTTGGCTTTGTCACTTTTGTCTCTGCTTCGGAATGCCAGGCTGCACTGGAAGCCATGAATGGAAAGGTTGTACCTTTACCTTTATTGTCTCTAGAGGTTGCATAAAAGTTCGGTGTTTGCAAACTTCCAGCATTTGGCTTGATAATTGTTAACGTTTTGGTTGTTCATTAAGCAAGTGAGTTAAGCTTGAACAAAAAATTTCGAATCATTTGCTGATGAAGCTGAACATGAACCTGAGCGAGTTTGATTAAATTCAACAAGCACTCGTTATGCCATCATCATTAGCCTTATCCCAACTTGTTGAGGCTGGTGTTAGAGCTTGATATATTAAAATTAATTAATTATGCGTCTATATAAATATTTGTACATAAATTCATTTTTTACTTGTCTACTATACTATTTAAAGGCACCTCTTACTTTCTAAAATAGCGGACCACTCATGCTTTAAATTTGATGATGTTGTATTATTAAAACTTTCATGTATTTTATCATAGAATAGTGATATTTTGTCTAAAAAAGTCAGACTGAAAAAGTTTAAATACTCTCACAAAGGTAGGGTCGTAAAAATAAGGGGGTTTAATCAATGTTGTTGGATCTAATGCTGTCCATGGAAATATATTAGGACCTTACTAGAAAAATCGACTGAGCTGAGAGAGTGAGTGAGAGAGAGTGAGGCTAGGCCTCAATGATTTTCTTGGTGAATTGATCTACAAAAGATTTGGTCAAACCCCTTTGGCAGAGAAGGGTTAGTCAAAAGATCATCAAAGTCAATTTAAAGAAAGAGAGATTTAACATAAAGCTTATGTGTGATTGAGTTTTTGCTAAAGGTTCAAGATTGCATGTACCTATTCTGCCAATGACTTTGTATTTATAAGTAAAGGTTGTTGATCTCATTTTTGTCATACTCAAATTTGACCATTGCACACACACCTTGGTTGACCTTGATTCTCCTGGTTTGATCATCGTGGTACTCATCACACCTGATGATTTGAACTGCAACTTTTCAATTAGAACCACATCCTAATAGCACGCATATACCCTCAATTTGTTTGATCATGCATGCCTCTCCATGATCACGATCTCTATTTGATCATTTGTCTCACTCTAATGATAGTCTCCATTCAATTGTGTTTTTCCACATTTATGACCTCCATTTGATCGTGAATCTCGTCATGGTCATGGTATCTATTTGATTGAATGTTTCATCATGATCACGATCTTTGTTCAATCATGCACATCTTGCCACAATCACAATCTTCATTCAATCACCTGCATCACACCATGATCATGATCTTTGTTCAATCATTTGCGTCTTGCTGCGATCATGATCCGTTCGAACGTGTGAATCACGATGCAATCACAATCATGCACAACATTTTAAAATTGCACATGTCTATGTCATGATTGTGGTTTGGTCGATCTAGCTCAATTTAACGAAACTCCATTTGATTTGATTAATTAAGCTCACTTGTGAAGAGTATAAAAAATTGCAAAATCTAACAAGCTAAACACACAATTATTTAACTTTGAAAGCTAAGTTATAATTTGTGGTGAAACCAGTTTACTCAAAAAGCTT